AGGTTTAGTTTTCTAATTCTCTTTCAGCCCCAGTAGCATATGCGTCTTAGTGACATTATCGCCTTGCTTGAAATGAAATGATTAAAGAAGAAAACTTGTACATGACGTCAGTGTGGACGCGGCAAGCACACAATGTTCAAGATTACTCACTGGCATCTCCCTACCAGCTAAGCCACCCAACGGCTGACTAGGTCAGCAGAGTAAATGAAATTAGGGCCATACAACCGGTTCTGTTGATATTGAGTGTGGGTAGATACTTGATATGAGATAAATTATCAAGCGACAATTTACAATGTTCTATCTGTAAACATACAACGAAGCTTTCTTAGCTTTTCATCGCCTGGACACACAACCCCATTTCGCGTCTATCGTATCGTTCGATGTAGTGTAAACAAAAACTAAGAAAGGTCCGTTGCACGTTCACAAAGGGGAAGGGAATAAAAAAATAAATGGAGTGAAATGAAATCCTATAGGGGGTTCACTTGCATGGTCTGTTTGCGTTGACAGGAGACATTTGTGAAAACAATTGCTATGGGATTCTAACAGATCGGTATTGCGTTTAATCAGAGACAACTTTGGTCACTCATCTACATTTCTATTTATTATTTTATTCGCTTTTGTTCAAGTGTGTGACCGCTTCGAAGACCCCCAATTCACAGACTTCATTGCTGGCCATAAAAGACAAAACTTTTAAGACAGCAATAAAATCATATATGTGGGTTACTCTATCACATCTATAGTGTCATAAATCTAACAGCATTAAAATTCAAGGTTAAAGAGCTAGGATATCAGATCAATATGTTGTATATGATCTTCGCTGGTGACCCATGCACGTGACTGTATGCCAGTGTATATTCTACGTTTCATAACAGATCATTACGGGGGTTACCGAGTGTGAAAGAATATGAGGAAAAGAAAAACATTATTAAGGCGAGAAAACAATCAACAAACAGGAATTAATAAGACAGAAGATAATGATTTACATTACATTTTGATTTTTGAGGATCAAAATTGACTGGAAAGCAAGAGGCCGGGAGTGGGTTCCACAAACAAGAAGAAACTGTTAGCATAGAACTTGCAGACTGTAATGCACCTTTGAAGATCTTGAAAAAGCTATCAAAATACAAGGACCTTGAAATCGAAATCTCAAAAATGTGCCACATGGGAACATCAGCAATCCCCGTTGTAGTTGGCGCCCTCGGATTGGTTGGAAAAGATTCCAGTAGACTAATAGAAGGGATGCTTGGAAGTCCATGCCTTAAAGAAATACAAAAAAATTCCTCACGAGTACAGCCCACACCTTACGAAGGGCTTTATCTATGTAAAATATCCGTGTGTGTTTTTTTTTTTGATAATTGGTCATTAGAAAATGTCATGATGCCATTTCTGACCTTAGGTCTCTGGTCGGGACCCGGAAATAAATGACTACACACCAGAAATCAAAGGAAATAAGACAACAATAGAAATAATGATAGAGCCCTCGGATTGATTGCAAAATATTCCAACAGATTCATTGAATAAATCTCTGGTAGCCCATGCCTTAAAAGAAATACAATATATATATATATATATATATATATATATATATATATATATATATATATATTACAGCCCACACATTACGAAGGACTTTATCTATGTAAAATGTGTGCGATTTTTTTTTCTTCAAAACTGCTTAGTGCGAAATGTTATGATGCCGTTTCTGACCTTTGGTCTCTGGTCAGGACCAGAAAAAAATGAGTATACACCAGAAACTAAAGGAAATAATAATAATAATAATAATAATAATAATAATAATAAAGAAGTGGTATTGTAAATCTAGGGATAAAATAAAATTGATAATAAAGAATTAATGATAAAAAGAATAACCTCTATCTATAAAAGGCAGGATGTGTGTGTGTGTGTGTGTGTGTGTGTGTGTGTGTGTGTGTGTGTGTGTTTTCGACGGCCGCAATTTTCGACGGATTTGCACCAAAATTTACGTGCACATGCATCGAGTTAGTGGGAAGGCCAACTCCCATCGATAGTCAAAATAATCGATTTTTTCATGCTTCTACGGCAGTTTTCATGTAGTTTGCGGCCATTTTGTACTGGCCAGAGTGAAAACCTATAGCTGGTTGCCACAAATAGGCAGGAAGATTCTATTGACCAGCGTGAGAGCCAACAGCTGACTGACACGAATGTTAACTAGCATGCTTGCATGCAAAAAAAATCGAAATCTGCATGGCACTTTACTCCAATCCATTCGCTTGCTTAAACTCAACGTTGATTCTGATTCCGCAGAACTGGGTTGGGTGTGAAAAAGTATTTGTTGTTAACATTCTTTTTTCATTTGTTTTTTCCCAGTTACGAATCCTTTTTTAAAGCTGATCGTTTTGTGTTCATTTTGTTTAGTTCTTTTTTCGTAACAGATTTAATGTTTAGTATAGAGCTTAGAAAAAATTCGCAGTGTGAGATAGGCAAGAAGTAAGGCATATAGCAACATCAGCACGGCTAAGAGGACTCCTTGAAAGACAAGGAAGGGCAAAAATATTTTAAGTCAAGTGATAGCAATTGCTGTATGAGTCGTACGATTTTTTAATCAAGCACGGGCAACGCCGGGCTATACTGCTAGTAAGATAATAAGAACTGTGATAAAAAGCAGCCCATTAAGTTGTAATAAAATTAGTAAAAAAAAAAAAAAAAGAAGAACATAGTAGACTAAGACGAAATTGGAAGTTGACTCCCAGATCTCAATCGCTGCGCCCATAGCCCTTGTGCTACCCAGACATCTCATCTTCTTCTTTATTTGCTGTGTGCTCTTAGTACGTAGGTGATTATGGCTCTCCACAATTTCCTGTGCTTTGTAGCTCTTAATAATGTTTGTCTTTCTGTTATATCTCCTAAACCTTGTTCCGCCATCCATTTACTCAAGCTCACAATGTTATGCGTTGTTTTCCTCTGTCTCTCTTCCCTTCGATCTGTCCTGTGAGTATCAGGTTTTCCAAGCCCTCTTTTCTCATTATGTGCCCTCATACTGTAGTATATTGGCTAAAATTTGACGGAGGAATTTGACGGTGTGAATTGCATAACAATCGTAACGCACGTACACAGAAACGAAGTTAAGAGAAGGAATAATCCTTTTCGTGGTTGCTTTGCATTTGAAAAAAAGAAGCCACTCTGACAGGACCGACAATTGGTAACAGTACTATATTACGATCGATCGATATTGAAAGCCTCGCCAATTATTTCCCACTGTTTCATGCTCTAACAATGCAACAACGAGATAATAGCTTTTGATATACATTTACCAGCTTAATTTGAACGTACTTTTCTCTGCCTACCCTTTTGTTGCGATGGGACTATGTCTCCCATCTCCTGTCGCCCATCTCTATTCCACTACTGGAAGTAGCGGTAGGAGGAGAGTGATTAAATGCTTCTGGCTTTGATAACAGTCGGATACGCAAAATTCCTTAAGAATAGTTCAATGTTTGCAATAGTTATTTTTTTTTTTAATACTAGACTTCACTCAATAGAAGGCTCGATAGCCTTTTACGGTAGAGGGTTACTCTTTTTTTTTCATTTTTTTAAAACAATATTCACTCGGATTTGCCGGATTTACATATGGGTTAGTATAGAAAGCAGCTCAGGTGACCCAAGTGTAGTTGGGCCCTCAAGGGGTCTCTAGCCTCTGATAAAACTTTTTAAAAAAATGCAAGATATAAAAACAGAAGTGACTTGTTTATTTTCAAATTTAATAGGGCATCTTTGAACTAATTTGAAACAATTTAGAGTATTTGATCACAACTATTTAGAGTGGGTCTTTTAAATTCGATGGAGACCCTTGAATGGGCCTCATTGAGATTTTGATGCTTTTTTTATATAGATTTTATATAGATTTTTTTTTAAATTTTTATATAGATTTTATATAGATTTTTTTTAAAATTTTTATATAGATTTTATATAGATTTTTTTTAAAATTTTTATATAGATTTTATATAGATTTTTTTTTAAATTTTATATAGATTTTATATAGATTTTTTTAAAATTTTTATATAGATTTTATATAGATTTTTTTAAAAATTTTTATATAGATTTTATATAGATTTTTTTAAATTTTTTATATAGATTTTATATAGATTTTTCATGTAGCTTCTTTTTTTTAATTTTTGTATCATTTTGTTGTAGTGCTTCAAAAAATATTTCCTTTTTTATAGACACAAGGTGTGGGGGTGAACATGCGTAATGAATCCCCCCCCCCACTCTCTTAGCCCAGGGGCCTCGTAAGTCCTAAATCTGGCTCTGAGTAATGGACACAGTTTATGAGGATATGTGGGGAAGATAACGATCACCCCTAAACTTGAACAGGTTAAGATTGTAGTGATTGGGGAAGCATCTTCTTGTGGCTCGGTCCTACAAAGTAGCAGTTCTTGTGGAAGAAGCTGTTAGAGGGGAACTTACATCTCACTAATGGAATATAAAAGGAGATAACGATGGTTCGAATGTGTCTGGCATGGTGGTTGTTAAAATGGTAATGATGACTGAGATATGTGATATGAATAAAAGAATAGATGGTAATGCGAAGTGTAATATTAGCTGTTTCCCTATAAGGAAACATTTGACATTCATTGACCGAGCAACCAGTAATTCTTTCAGTTGAAATTTATAAAATCTTTCTCTTCTAACAATTTTTTTTGAAAATACGTTTCTCAAATCCAGTAGTTGTAGCAAGTAAAACTTATGAGAATAAGGATTTTTTAAATGATTTGTTTTTTATGGATTATCAACCTTCGACAGGTTATTTAAAAGCCAGAAGGTAAAATTTTTTCGGGAGATAATAATAATTTAATGGTGCATGTCTTGCTAATTAACCCATAAGTGGGGAGAGAAAGTTTCCGATTAGTATGTTTTCCAAGGCTATTTGCGCGTAAGTGAATATAATGAACCCAACGGGAATTGGAACTCGGCTCTCCGATTAACAATTCTGAGTTGTTATCCATTACACCACACGAAAATCCAAGCTTGTAGCACCTGGTATTCCCAAGCGGTCACCCATCTAGGTACAGACCAGGCTCAACGTTGCTTAACTTCGGTGATTGTACAGGAACCCGTGTTTCAATGCGAAGTAGTCATAAACCATGAGGATAAGGAGGGTAGATAATGTTTTTGTTATATACCGTACATATAAACACTAATGGGTATGTACCAATTCTCTTAAATACGTTAGACATTATTGTAAGTTGGGTTAATATGGTATCTAAATAGTCCACCATTAGCAGTGGTTTACCTACTTCACGTCACTAGCGAGTATTGTATTTTTTGATGTTATAAAGATTAGCGTTTCATTTCCAACATGCGTTTTTGTTATTCCTCATTCAGTGACCCTTTCTACGTTACATCAGTTTTATAAGCTGGATCAGAGGTTCTTTTAGTTATAGGCCGGAGTGCTGGCTTAAATAAACGTGTTGGTTATTAGTAATATAAAGGAAATAAAGTTTAAAATAAATGGGTTGGTTATTAGTAATTTAAGAAGAAAAGAAGACGCTAGAAAATAGTCGTCTCATTCTACGGCTAACTGTGTCTACTATTCTTTATCTTGACGAATCAAATTAGAAAAAAAAAAAAAAATCTAATACCGCTGCCATATCTGAGCTGGAGAGGCTCACCCCTCACGTTGTAATCTCGATAATTTATGGTCATTGTTCACCAGGCATCGACAACCTTTCTCATGAAGAAGGCTGCTTTAGATATGGCTCATCATAACGCAGACAACACTACTAAAGTACTCAAGGTAATTTTTCATTGAAAAAAAAAACTCATTTTAACTACATAAAAAACACTCGTAGTTATCAGCCTACGAGATAAGAGATGGGAAAAGCTGATTTTTCTTTTTTGGTCTATTTTCTATAATTAAAAAATTGAATTCTTGTTTTAATATTATCACTGATGGTAATGCTATTGACTCACGCCGTTACATGTAATTTGTTTCAAAGTTATTCATTTTGAGCATGACAAAGTTTTAAAGACAAATATATATTTCTTCTTCACATAAATAAAAGTTATTATGAACGTTTCTTCTTTCTAGATATTAAAATTTTTTCTGTCTAATTTGACTCGAGAAGATAAAGAAATGCGAAGAGAGTTATATTACGCACAAATACCCTTCGGATAGGTATAAATCCGTCTCTTCTTCCTACAGTTATAGCTTAATTAGTAAGACTTGTATCACTAAATCATTATTATCTCCACCCAAAAATCTTACAGCCTAAAACTATTTTCTGGCAAATACTCATGCAAAGTTATGAATCCACGTCTTCCCCGTCCCCAGTTATGTGTTAATTAGTAAGACTTGTGTCACTAAATCATTATTTGCTAGTCTCCGCCAAAAAATCTTACAACCTAAAAATATTTTCTGGCTTTAAATAACCTGCAAAGGGTTGATAAGCCGTAAAAAAAACGAATCAATCCAATTTGCGATTTTGGAAACCTAATGTGCTGGGGTCTTCGAGGATAATGAGGAGAGTATTGAAGATTTTATGAAATTATTGTCACTCAATTTCTGACAAAAGACAACAGATAATCTCTCTTTTAAATACTATGTTTCTTCAGGGCGAACATGGCTCTTTTCTTTTCTTTATTATCTATGAATTTTCAATGCTTTCTTGTGAAATTAATACAGTTGATTCATATTGTTTTCTCCACAGTTTAGAACACAGTGTTTTTCCTTATCTTAGACTGGTTGCCCTCCACACAAAGGCCAAAGATAGAGAACACATCGTACTCTGCTATTTAACTCCTACCTAGCGTATGATTCAAGGATATTTGCATGAAATTAGTACAGTAGATTCATATTGTTTTCTCTACAGTTTAGAACACTGTGTTTTTCTTTATCTTAGACTGGTTGCCCTCGAAAGCCGTCGAAAACGAACCAATCAATCAATTAATGAAACGATATTTATACAGGCTGTCTTTGTCACAGGTTGACGGCTTTTTAGCTGGTAATTGACTGACTTCTCGTGAAGACATTGGGCACTTGTCACCAAAGTCTTTTCTAATCCCAAAACAACATAATTTTTCGGTCTCTGATCAGAACTAGATTTTACATACTAAACAACATTTCTTTTCATCATTATCTTTGTAATTAAAGGAGGGTAAAATTTGAAGTAAATGTCCTGTATCCATTTCTGTAACTGATACATGATTCCGGTACCTCGGCTTCTGTGAATTGCAGTTTGAAATGAATGCGGGGAAATCTGTTACGCAGTAAAAGATAAGTTAAATCAACAAATGGTTGTTATTTAAAATAATCGATAGTGAATTACGCTTATCAGTTTGGCCTTATGAAAGGGCACATAAATCTTGCATTTGTTTCCGGCACTGAATCAAGCATCAAAGTGGGGGATAGGTAGACAAAGGGAAACTTCCAAGTGTTTTTGTCATTATTATCTTGTTAACAATTCACCAGATTTACTTCATTTTGTTATTGTTTGTTTTCCTCCCAACAGACTGGCTTTCATTCGTTCTTCTTTATTACTAATAACATTTTGAATCCATCTCATTTTATCACAATACTCTGGCTCAATATAGTCTTCATTATTATTATTATTATTATTATTTTATTACTAGCGTCTTTGCTTATGTACCGTGTCCCTTCAGGCCGTGGGCGATTATGGTTTTCAAAACCTTGCTGTCTTTTGTAGCTTTTAGTAAAGTTTGTATTTTTGCTATCTCTTGTAATCCCTGTTCTACCAACCATTTACACAAGTTTGTTAGTCATCTTATTCGTTCATTTCCTCCGTCCCTCTTGACATGTATCCCAAATCCACTTTCCTCGTTATTTGCTCTGAAAATTTGAGTAATTTTTTTCTGATTCTAAGAATAAATGTCGTTTTTGTTTCGAATGTCCCTAAAACTTGCTCGTTGCTCACATGTTCAATCCACGGTATTCTCAGCATCCTGACGCAGAATCACATTTCTATTGCCCCAAGTCTCTTCTTCGTCTGTGAAACGATTGTTCAGCATCCATTGTCAGATAGGAGGACCAATATTTGTATAACATTTCAGTACTCCCACTTTTTATCCCGAGATAAAACTACTACTACTACTTCTATTAGTATTACTACTGTTACTACTATTATCATTTTTTAATTATTTTCTTGGATTTCTGTTGTATACAAATTTCCTTCCTCATCCCAACCAGAAATCTAAGGTCAGAAATGGCTTGTGAGCACAATCTTTTGTATTTCTTTAAGGAATGGGCTACCAAGAATTCCTTTAATGAGTCTATTGGAACCTTTTCCAATTAATCCGAGTGCTCCAACTATAACTGTAATTACTGATGTCTTCATGTGCCAGATTTTTGAGAAATTATTATTATTATTATTAGTAGTAGTAGTAGTAGTTTTATTCCATAATATTACAAAGTGCTAGACAAAGTAAAAATAACCACTCTTAGAAGTATAACCAATTTGCTTCCACTCTCCAATACAATCCGTAGTAAATTCTTGAAGCTATTTGGACATATTAAAAGATCAAGTGAATGGCTTGCTACACCATGTCTTAAAGGGATAGTGTACAGAAAAAAGAAATGCCAAAAAGAAATCGATGGATAACATCATTCTGTGCTTACCAACTAATGAGTAGCAAGCTCTAAATATGCTCGCTCAAGATCGTAAAAAAATGGCAGGAAATAAGTCATGTGATTTCTTAATCCGTCGCAGGAATTATTTCCTCCATATGATTGCTATTTTTTTAACGTTTTATGGTAATAATAATAATAATAATAATAATAGATTTAAAACATTTCCAGCTATGGACCGGGTTCTATAGTCTTGGATGGCAACTGGTCTACCGCAGAAAGAAATGTCAACCTACTGCGGGAAAAAAATATCTGTCTCGTCAGTCATGTATCGAAAGGTACATGATCGTCTAAGCGTGTACCATGCATGGAACATAAGTGACTGAATGAAATAATAATAGTGAAAATCCATCATGTAAATATTTTTAAAAAGATCAAAATTCATTTTTATTCTGAAAGTGTGCCTCAAGTACTTGTGAATGTGCTGCGAGTCTAATTTTTATCGGCGCAGAAGGTGGAACCAGCTAGCCGGGTTCAGATTCCAGCCGAGTCGGTTGGGTTGCGTTTACTTTCGTACTAATAACCCCTTGAAAGGCATGAATCCATATCTTCTATCCGAACTATGGACTAAATAGCAGCCTATAGCGGGCTTTCAATCTAAGAGAATCGAAAACTTCAATTTAAGACCGTTTTACGACATCACGAAACCCCTTACACTATCTTTCGCAAGAAGTCATGGGAATTTCCTGTTAGTAAAGAGGCGTGATCACCTACAAGGCATGTAAGTATAGTTAAGTATTACGATGAATAATTTCTGATGCTAATTAGCTGTTTTTCTGCACTGAAAGAAATTTCTTACTGATAATCATCTGTTAGGTGATTATCAGTAAGAAATTTATAAATAGCTGATCTGGATTAATCCCACTATGTGCAGGACTCACCCCAGATGATACCAAAATAGACTGTCATACTAGAGTTTCAAAGAAGTTTGGTGCATTAGTGGGCTGAATAGAAAAGGTGTTTTGCTCGCTACCTTTTGTGGATTTGCAACTCAAAGAGAACGTCAGGTACTTCTCCCGCCATCTAAACAGATGATCGATTCAGCTACCCTTAGGATGCGCTCACGTGGAACAACCGCTTGCCAGGAAGAAACATAAGCGCCACGACCGAGAGAGAAAAGACAGAGTCCTCCCGAGAAGACAAATCCACTTTTGGAGAACGACCTCAAAGCCGTACACCCTCTGGCCGATATTAATCGACGTATGGAGGCAGATTTAGACCCGTGTTCTGATAAAACTGTACAGCAATATCACTGCATTGACAAAAACAAATTTCTTATTTCTGTTTTTTTTTCTTTTTGTTTTTTTTTTTTTTTCACATTGGAAGCCCCTTTCCTGTATTCTAATTATTCGTCCATAATTCGACTTCTTCGTTGTGCACCGTTTATCCTCAGGGCATAGGTGATCATGGCTCACCACAATTTCCTATCCCTTGTAGCTCTTAAGAAATTTTGTCCTTCTGTTATTTCTCCGTCTTTCCCTATT